CCCCTGCCAGGATTCTGATGGCTTCTCCTGTACCATCAGAGCCCTGGCGGAGGTGCCCCAAAACCACCCACGCCCGCTTTAGAGCACTTTGGAGGCTTTTCCTGCACCATAAGAGGACTGGTGGGAGACCTCCAAAGCTGGCGACTGCAGCGAGGGGACCCCCCACACACACCAGTCCTCTCAGGGTGCTTCCCCAGCTCCCTACCCCTTAAGTTCCTTTTTAAAAAAAATTTCCCCTCGGAACGCATTAATTAATTTTCAACGCATTCCTATGGGAAATTTGGTTTCGCAAGACGATGTTTTCTCAAGACAGCGATTTCCACGGAACGGATTAACATCGTCGACTGCAGCGAGGGGACCCCCCACACACACCAGTCCTCTCAGGGTGCTTCCCCAGCTCCCTACCCCTTAAGTTCCTTTTTAAAAAAAATTTCCCCTCGGAACGCATTAATTAATTTTCAACGCATTCCTATGGGAAATTTGGTTTCGCAAGACGATGTTTTCTCAAGACAGCGATTTCCACGGAACGGATTAACATCGTCTTGCAAGGCACCACTGTATTTGTCTTTCTGACAAGCAGAGATGTGGAATATCACACAGGCGAAGACATTCCTGAAAGCAAGTATCCTGGCTGTTAAGGAGCTCTTCCGAAGCAGTGACTACAGCTCTTTTCTCAGACTGATCTTCTCCACATTTAATCTGCTCCTACTCCCTCACTGGCATGCACCCGGGAGCTCTCCCCCACTCTTTCCCTCCAGCTATCTTCCCTTCTCCTCCTCATACACACAGCACAAGTCTCAGACCCCAGCATTAAAAGGAAATGATCCAGTCATTAAAGCAAACCCAGTCATTCTGTGACAATAATGACTGGGTTCTCCCTGTTCTCCTGGTACTTATCACATCACAAATTCAGCCTATCAACCAAATAAGCCAAAAGTGACAGTGTGAATTACCCAGAAAAGCCAGTGATTAAAAAAAAATGCTAATGGTCCAACAGCAAAGAATGGAAAGACCAAGAAGTCACAGAGCACAGACAAAGCTAGAATATTTCGCCCACAGAATGAGAAACAAAATGCACACATTGATGATTCGAGGTAAAACAAATGGGCCGATACTAAAATACAGCTGTTACGTCTAACAGGTTTCACAAAACCCTGTTATTGTTGCTGGTTTTATACAAGGGAAAAGAATTGCAAGAAAGAGAGTAATTTCTTGGCTGAAAATGTGAACCTTGGACACAACACAGGCCTTCTCTCTCGCTGCCCCCAGACTTTGGAACTCCCTCCCACTGGAAGCCACCCTAGCGCCCTCTTGGTAGTCCCTCCGCAAGCAGGCAAAGACCTTTTTCTTCAGGCAAGCTTTCCCTCAGTGGCTGTCTGTCTGCACATGATGTTTTAGATGGACTTGTGCTTTTACTGCTTTGACTATGTTTTAGTATTGCTTGTGTTTTCCATTTCTCAGAGTGGTATTACCTTGTTCCTATTTAATATTTCTATACCTAGTGTTTTTAGGTTGAAATATTGCCTTTTAATTGCGTAAGCTGCCTTTCGATATTCATTGTTTTCAGCTTTATATATTGTCTTTTAATGATGTACACCACCTTTGTATACTCATTGTTTTTTATCTTTAAATACCTGTACTCTCTTTCAATGATTGTAAGTCACCATGGATCCTTTTAAAGGAGAAAGGCAGGGCGAAAATATTTTAAATAAATAAAAACATTAATTACAGCTGCTGCCCGGAGAGTCAAAATAGTCATGATCTGTAGCAGGAGATAAACAAGGAGGAGGAGAGGAAGAGGAGTAAGAAGAGGAAGAAGAGGCATAAGATGAATCCAGTGTGCTGGGCAACTGAACTTTGCTGGTTAAAGCGACTCAAAGAACAAGGAAAACAGGGTTCACTGTTCCCATTGGTACTTAACTTCAGATTAGAAAAAAAAAACAGGAAATAAAATTTGAAAGATGCATTCACTGCCTTTAAAAACCCATCAATATTTACAGAATAGATTCCACTCCAATTCACCTGCTGAGAAACCTCTTCACAGTTATTATGGAACTCACAAGAAAGTGGGAGAACAAACCAAAAATCTCCTTCATAGGAAGCATGCTCAGTTCATGCACACTGCCATCCAGCATTCCCGGGCATTACCGTCAATCCCTTTTATGAAAAAAAATGAGTCCCACTTGAATCAACCTGACCCAACACTTCCTTTGATGTGTAAATGGAAAGACTTGACGGATGTTGATCCAATCTCCTTTTGCTGAAGTTCTCGCTAAGGAAACATAATACAGTAACCATCTAACCTAACCTAAATGATCTCCGTAGCACGACTTTCACCACCTCTGCCCCTTATGAATATTAGCTTTGTTTTGTCTGTGAGGATAAGCTGTAAATTTCTTAAGGAGGAAATTTATTCTCTCTAAACCAGTGCTTGGAGAAGTTACCTGGAAAAAGGGCAGCTGTCAACAGTGGCCATCCAGCATGGCTAGAAAAAGTAACTTTTCCAAGCTCTGCACAAAACACAATGCAAATCGAATTAGACTTTCCCATCTAAAACTGGATGACAAACCTGGACAGCATCTAAAAGCAGAGACATCACCTTGCCAACAAAAGTCTGAATACTCAAAGCTATGGTTTTTCCTGTCCCGATGTATGGAAGTGAGAGCTGGACCACAAAGAAGGCTGACCGCCAAAGAATTGATGCCTTTGAATTGTGGTGCTGGAGGAGACTCTTGAGAGTCCCCTGGACTGCAAGGAGAACAAACCTATCCATTTTGAAGGAAATCAACCTTGAGTGCTCACTGGAAGGACGGATCCTGAAGCTGAGGCTCCAGTACTTTGGCCATCTCAGGAGAAGAGAAGACTCCTTGGAAAAGACCTTGATGTTAGGAAAGTGTGACGGCAAGACGAGAAGGGGACGACAGAGGATGTGATGGTTGGACAGTGTCATCGAAGCAACCAGCATGAATTTGACCCAACTCCGGGAGGCAGTGGAAGACAGGAGGGCCTGGCGTGCTCTGGTCTACGGGGTCACGAAGAGTCAGGCACGACTTAACGACTAAACAACAATCTAAACTGGAAGGGGAGAAAGCTCCTCCTCGGTAAGAATCGACTGTGCATTATGTATAGGTTCCCATTTCTTAAATACTAAATCACAGCAGAAAACAATCATGTAAGAATTCAGGAGGGAAACTGTGTAGGTGCATTAATTCCAGTCACAAACTACAACAAAGTCGTCTGTATATTTTGCGTGTCATTTTATCTTCCAGTAATCAGGATCAAACTGAATTGCTGAGTTCTACCTGCTGACACTGCTATGCTTCACTCCCTTCTGTCCATCTAATTAATGGAAGGCAGATCATCCTGGAGAAGTAAGGAGCTGAGAGGCTTAGCTGCTACCAAATGTTTCTCTCCCCCCGATGTTGCACAAGATCCAGGAGTTGTAGGCTTTGTAAACTCCAACACCATTAGAGAAGCAACTCACTTAGAGCACGACAATGGCTTGGGTGTTTCTGTCACACTGGAGCAGGAGATTGGACTCAATGGCCTCACAAGCCCCTTCAAACTGTTATTCTATGAACTAGAAAGATCTAGGGGTCAAAAAAGGAAGACAATAAAATCTGGTTGTTGTGGGTTTTTCGGGCTCTTTGGCTGTGTTCTGAAGATTGTTCTTCCTAACGTTTTGTTTTGTGTAAACAAAAAACACGCTGATCACCCTATCTCCTGAAAAGGGCAAAATCTGTTCCCACAGCTATAAATACTCAACTATCCCACAAACTGCAACAGAGCACAGACAGAGTTCCTACTCCAGTCCTCTGAAGATGCTGGCCACAGAGACTGGCGAAATGTTAAGAACAA